GCACTCGAGATGGATGTGACAGGCAAGGTATATCTAAAAAAGGGACTCTATTGATATCGAACGAAAGTGCTAATTGTGAGGTTGGTTTATAGATCATGCTTGCGTCATGGCGAGGTGCACGTTTGGAGGTCATCCAGGTTCTTCGAGAGGTCTGTCATCGTCGTTCGAGGTCTTTTATTGGATATCAATCTTCTTTATTGTTTTAGGTCGTTGAGAATGTTTTGAAAGAACCTGGACAATCCGAGACTGTTCTGATGAATAGGGCCAAGGTATATTGGGTCATACAACATTGAACCGTTCTAATTATGTGCATTTTCAGGCTCTTCTTATTAGCGGCGCCATCTTCAAAGCTGCAGTCCCAGACGGATCAGATGAAGAGCGCAGGCAACTCGAGCGGTACGTTGTACACATAGTTTTCGGAACCTGTTGTGACCCACTTTCCCTTCTGTGTGCTATTACTAGCATGGTTCATGAAGCAGCGCTTCCAAAGGCCAAGCAACATGGCATGAAAGCTGCCAAAGCCAAACAAGAAGAGATGCTCAAGCAAGCACATGCGGAAGCAGAGAAACAAGCACTTGCAGCGGAAAAGGCAACGGATGGGAAAGAGTAAGTCAACACGGATGGTGGTGGTGGTGGTGCTATGGCAATGTAAGGATCCAAGCTCCTTTGCTTTGCTGGTATTCTCTACATGGATGGTTTGAAAATTCCTCCATGTTCGAGGTGATTTCCAGTTGGATAATACTTTTTTATATATTTCACACAGTATAATGCTATCTTTTACACTTAGTCTTGCGTCAAGCCTTTCACGGTTTTTACATAGTATGAAATTAAATGACCAAAGACGAGACGACGAGATGTTAGAGAAGTAAAATATCTCTATCGTACAGAAGGTTGTTGCTGAACTCTATCACTCTAGAGTCAGAGTTTGGACTGGAAATCATCCCCCAGCACCTCAGATATCTACTTTAACACCATGCACATCGGGTAAAACATGTGTACGAGAGGGGTCGAAGGGAGATTGAAATGTTGTTGGAGGTGCAACTACATGTTCCCAGTCAATGAGAAACGATCGTGGGTGGGGGTCAAGTTAAGACGAATTTTTTCCCTAGTGTCGCACCCAACTCGTCTGAATTCGTTCAACAAGCGGACTCCTATTAAGCTTTCACAGCTTCGACTGCTCGAACGAATCTCGCACCTGCCATGTTAGTGTAAGAAAATCGACAAGAATGAGGAGAATATTTCACTTTGCAAAAGAAATCGAAGTCACTGATGACGCGATAGCCTGTCATAGCTAAGGCTTTAGTTATCACCATGGTGGCATCATGGGCTGCCTGGCTGATAGCAGCCCTGGCAAACGCAGGTGTATGATTTCCACCTCGAGGTTCTGTGGGGATGGCTAAATGGATGATATTTAAGTCAGGATTCCACGGCATTGTACGGAATTAGCCTTACCATATGCGGGATGCAGAGCTGGGAGTGCTGTAAACGTGGTACATTAACACTTGATGGTAGGGTAAACATGAGATTAAAAACTAACCGCATGAAACATTGCCCTACCATTTGAAATGTCGAAGTAAGTTTAAGGAGATGAATTTAGGAGGACTACGAACGAAGTCGGTGGAGGCGGTCGTCGCATCCGTACGAGTGAGCCAGCCATATCGATTCCCCACGATATCGGCGAAACCTTGTGCTAGAAAATTATAAATTGATTAGTTGTACATATGTTAATGCGGTGTAAAGAAGTCACCGAGGATGGGGTTCTGATGCAGATTAAGATAAGGGTCTGCAAGCTTCATTTCGATTCTACACGAAGTTGCGAGGGATGCGGCTCTTGAATTCGGTTTTTAGCTTTTAAAATGGACGTCAATTGTTGTTCACTTACTTTAAACAGTTTTGCACTCGTTCAACGAGCATCGTCAGCTCTGAGAATGTCGGGGTTCGTACTAACCACTGCATTTTAGAGTAATCAGGGATCACTGAAATACAATAGATCAGGGGCGGGTTTATCCGGGAGAAAAAGAATGTTACCATTCGGCAGCCAGTTTTTCCCGTGGACAATGCCGTGGATGCGATGATCAGGCTTTATTTGCTGTCGTAGCATAGAGATATTCGAGTACGCAGAAAATGCTGCATCTAAAGCGTTTATTCCTTCCCTACGATAATCTTCAGAGGTTATTTCATATCTCTGCGCTGTGAAGGCTTACCATGGGGCCGCTCCTGCATGGGCACTATAATTTAGAAATTTATGAGCCAACCCCGACATTGCAATAAAACCACAAACCCGTGCCCAAAATATTCGACATCAATCTGTTGCAAAGCTATCGTGGCTCCAACGCTTGAAGAATACGGCATCCCTGGTGCTGGATGACACCTGAGAGAAAAATTGTGAGGTTGTGCACATTGATAGGGATTTTAGCAAGCATCTAGTACATAATACATGCGTCCATGTCGGCGTAACCCCCTCGCTTAAGGAGAATGATTTTGCCACCTCCATTTTCTTCCGCTGAATTTACATTTATCATCAAGCTGAATGCACGTTCCTGATTACTCAACATACCGGGAGTGCCCAGAAGTACAACCTTCCCAGAGACGTGCCGTTGGGCTTGCAGTGCGGCTTTCAAGGAGATAGCAATCCCAACTCCGCTGACAGCGATGAGGTTGTGGCCACAGGCATGCCCCATACCTTGTAAAGCATCCATTTCTGAATTGACACCAATAACTCTTCCTCCTGTGCCCTGCGAAAATTCTGCCCTCCAAGCAGTTTCGAGACCAAGATAATGCTTAGTGACGTCAAAGCCATGCTCGGCCATGAAATTTGTCAAAAGGTCATGAGCAAACCTGAGGAATTAGTTCAACAATATTGTTCTTGCACTGATGAGAAATGGGGTTGTGAACCTTTCCTGGAACTGGAGTTCCGGATGACCTAAAAATTTACCGTGAATAATTATGCGTTGTGATCGTGCGATCGCGAGATTACCATGTATTTTCAAACTGAGAGCACGGAGTTTGGGATTTAGTTTGTCAACCGTTTGTTCAATAGCAACTGAGGCGTTGTTATCGGCGTAAAAGGTTTCTTTTGCAGTATAGGACGGCGGTCTGGGTTCAGTCGACGTCCACCATTCGTTTGATGGACTGTAGGAATAGTCACAATGGGGGCTAAAATACTGGATGCCTTCCGAGTCCTTTTGTTGCTTTGCATCAAGCGGTGTACATGTCAAACTGGTTGAACACAGACCTCTTGACTCTCGTTTGGTACTTCTGAGCGGCCTTTATATTCTCCTGACAGTTCGATCCTTGCTACCTGAGAGTCGCACGGCTGTGAGGAGGATTTAGGACGAGTTGTACGCGATCTAGACTTGAAAAAATTGCCCAGACAGCCAACTTGCAAATCAGAATGGTCCATCAGAGAAATCGGAACTTGGGAGGATGGCGTTAAGAGTTTAGAGCGTGTGGACTCCCCATTCAAGGATCTTCCAACTTCAGGCAAGGTTACAATTTAGTACTTATATTTAGTACTTTAGGGCTAGCCTGAGGGAACACATTTTGACAACCCGTTGAGTGCGGAAGATAGTGAGAAGAGCCGTTGAAGGAAAGCATGTGTGGAGCAGATATCAACGATGTGCCACCGCAAACGACCGAGAAGTTCAGGCAACCCAGTACTTGAAGTATTATGCTATTGCACTCAATCCTGCCGCAGTTATCAAATAAAAAGTACAGTAAGTAGTAGTAGCTAGAATACAAAGGTTTACTGGGGCTTCTCTCCACGGAAGTAGCATCCAATTCTTTTCCAGAATCCTGGTTGAGATGTATATTGATCGCGGCCACTCAACCCAACCACGATAGTACCCTTTCGTGCATTAAGTTGGCATAAGGTGGTCTCACGAGAGTCGTCCACAGGATTTTGAGGGCCAATCATGAATATTATCTCCTTGTCAGATGTCTTGACGACATTCATGATACTTGTGAGAGCAGGTAAAACAATCATTTCACCTTTTCTTGTCGTGAGATGAACGACTCCCGAAAATTTTTCTGGTAAGAAGAGTACGATGTCTCCTGCAAAGGGGATCAGTGATGGCTAAAAAACTTTCGTTTCCCCCGACTCTTACCTTTGCGCGAAGTGACATCGAGACCTAGAGGCCTAATTGGGAGCGTCCGTAACTTCGTACTGTAAGTGCAGATGACGACATGGCATGATCAGTTACATACCAGGTTTATTTTAATGTCTCCTTTATAGGTCGCCACATCTATATTTGCCTTTTTAGTGTCGTGGGCATCGCCGGTTGTACCCAGATCAATGGAAATATCTCCTTTACGAGTCCGGAAGGAGGCATGGGGTAATTGTTGCTGCGATTTTCTTTTGCACTTTCGACGACGACTTTGGTCAAGCAATGGGACATTTGGGTCGACATAGAAGGTTCCTGCACAGAGGTAAGGAGATGATAGAAAAAGGACGTTTCAACGTACCCTTGATGTCTTCATGACGTGAAAAGATATGTACTTGATCCACTGTTGGAGGAGGCGGATGGCTGCCGTTACTCGTCAAGGATGGAACGCCAGGGTGAATACTGTATGCTGGCGGATTGTCTGCCATCTTCACTCAAGTAAGTATGTTGTTGCTCCTTGAGAGAAGAGGAATAAGTACCATGTCAATCTTAGGAAGTGGCTTCGAGTTGGGGATAACTTTTGAGGCTTCGACTATCATCATGGTATTTGAAACCAATGTCTCGTAGAAGTATATAGTCCGATAATCAATTTGCTGCGGTTTCCTATAACGGGTAAAGCGTGGTCAATGTATTACGGCTGCGCAGCAGGTAGAAGCTGTCGATAACCTGGGGTCAGAAGATGCTGTTAGAGGAATAGGAATGCGCGGTGAACTAAAAAGCCTTTTGAGTCACCGTCCAGACCTGGAATCCTTATGGAGAGCGAATGGGCTGTGGAGTGCTGTGCTGCGACGCAATGTTTGTATTATGTAATCAATTGATCTTGATCAATTGCAAAAAGGGCCTGACCGGGAATTGAACCCAGGACCTCCTCCAATCAAGTACAAACACCCAAAGGAGGAATCATACGACTAGACCACCAGGCCAGTGAACGTTCTTCCATTTTGATCCTTAATTACCTTTATCAGCAATTAAGGACAAATATTGCACGGCAGCGTATGCTCAGTGCAACCTCCTTACAGCTTTGCAGATAACCACTTCATTTGAACACGTTCTGCCCGGATTATGGCCTCCGTGGCTCCATCAACGCAACCTGAACGCTTAAACCAGATATTCAATGGATTGAAGAGTAAAAATGCAGAGACGAGAGCCCAATCAGCAAAGGACTTGTACCATTTCGTCAGTTTTATATCTTATATTCTTATTACTATTCTTAATTCCTGTCGCAACTCGTGGTATAGGTGTCGTTATCTATAGGGGAAATGTCATCAGATGCTGCGGCCAAGCTCTGGGATGATAATATCAATCGACGTTTATTTGACCTCACACATAGTCAGAACACTGCTGAAGCTTTTGGAGGTCTGCAAGCCATTGGTGCGTCGCCTTCTACTGACATCTATACATTAATAATGAACTCTCTACCAGAGAATTTACTGGAAATTGACCAGGAGGAAACAATAGAATCCAAGAGGAACCTCTTTCGTTTCTACAACTATGTTAAACACCTTCTTCCCAATCCTGAAGTCAACCTCATGCTTGCAGCTTCGAAGACGCTGGGAAAAATTGCAGATATTGGCGGATCAGCGTTCGGAGAGGGGTTTATGGATTACGAAGTACATGCCGCTGTTGATTTGATGCAACAGGAAGCACCCCGACACGCTGGGGTTCTAATTTTAAAAGAACTCGCGAGGCACAGTGCGAACTACTTCCACTCACATATCGGAATTGTCTTCGAGAATATCCTTGTACCTTTACGTGACCAACGCTCCATCGTGAGGGAAGGTGCCGCTGAGCTACTGGCCGCTTGTCTAGAGATTGTAACTCAGAGAGAACGTCAAGCCCGAACCCCCGACTTGTCCAAGATTCTTCAAGAGGCGCAGCTGGGCCTAAAGCAATCGCAGTCCGAGGTCATTCATGGTTCCCTACTAACATATCGCGAATTGCTACTCCATGCGGGCATGGTAAGTCTCATTTCATCAACTCTCGTTCTCTTAGTCAACATAAACATCTTCCACCCCTAGTTCATGAAGGAGAATTTCCTGGATACAACAGATCAAATTCTGCGCTTCAAGACTCATCGCGATCTCAATATTCGCAAAATGGTTATCACCATGATTCCGTCACTGGCGGCTTACGACACGCAGACTTTTACGGAACATTTCCTCCACAAGGCTATGGCACATCTTTTGACTCAATTTGACAAACCCAATGAGCGGAACTTTGGTAAGGTCAGTTCCACACTCCGTGAGCACATATTAAGACAGCCTTACAGCCTTCATTGCGATTGGACACACTGCTACGGCTGTTGGAAGCGATATGAAGCCATTTCTTGATGCAATCATGATGCATATCAAGCATGGTTTGCAAGGTCGAGGGTAAGTTTTCACCTAGTTTTAAAATCTACCTTTATGGAACACGAACTAGGAGGAAAAATTCCCCTTCCGAAGAGCCCATTTTTCAATGCATCGGACAGTTGGCGGCTGCTGTTGGCCCCAATCTGACTAAATTACTCCATGATCAGCTTGATCTCATGCTCGCTTGCGGATTGAGTGGGCCCCTCGTTTCGGCACTCACCGCCATTGCGAAACACATTCCGCCCCTTCTCAAAACCTTGCAAGGTGTGCCTTCGAATTGTCTTCTGACTCAGATAAATCAGCATATAACGCAGCATACTCTAGATCGTCTATTAGATTTGTTGTCCAACATTTTAAGTGGACAGCCTTACAAACCTTTGGGCGCTCCTCCTAACCTTGGTCGAAACGACGTAAATGGGACAAATAGAGATCTTAACCCCAGTCAGGTTTGTGATGGAATTATTTTCTTCCTTGGTTTCTATTGGTTTACTGTTTACCTTTTCAGATCAATGGGATTGACAAAAGTCCAGAAGTAATTACATTGGCACTGAATACTTTGGGCAGCTTTGACTTCAGCGGTATGAATGTTTCCCCCGCCCCCCTTTTTTCTTGTCCCTGCTGACTATCCGTAGGCCACGTTTTAAATGAATTTGTTCGCAGTTGTGCCCTTCCGTACCTCGAAGATGATAATCCAGAGGTTCGCAAGGCGGCCGCCGTGACTTGTTGTCTTCTGTTCGTGAAGGATCCTATTTGTTATCAAGCTAGCAGCCATGCAATAGAGGTTATCAGCGACGTCTTGGACAAATTGCTTACAGTGGGGATCGCTGATCCAGGTATTTTATCCTGCCCTATACAAAAGAAAGAGGCTGACATTTATCATATCCATTCCTATAGACGCAAATATCCGACGGACTGTTCTATCCTCTCTACATGAGCGATTCGACCGACACCTCGCTCAAGCAGAAAATGTTCGATCACTCTTCATTGCACTAAATGATGAGGTCTTTGAGAATCGTGTGACTGCCGTTGGTCTGATAGGTCGATTGGCGAAGCATAATCCAGCCTATGTTATGCCTTCGTTACGGAAGGCCCTCATCCAGTTGTTGACTGAGCTTGAGTATTCAACTGTTATGTAAGTTATCCCTTTGCCACTAATCAATGGTGAATTGACGTTGTCTTAGGCGCAACCGAGAGGAGTGCACTCGCTTGCTTACTCTTCTAGTCAGTGCCACGCAAAGGCTGATAAAGCCTTATGCTCTACCTATGCTACGTGTTCTCCTCCAAAAAGCTAACGATAATAATCCAACTGTCGCGGCGAACGTCCTTATGTGTCTAGGAGAACTTGCCTGCGTTGGGGCTGAAGATGCCATGCCTCATGTTCCTGACCTTATGCAAGTTATCATCTCTAGGCTTTCCGATCCATCCTTGATAAAACGAGATGCTGCACTTCACACTCTTGGTCAAGTTTGTTCAAGTACTGGTTATGTTATTACTCCTCTCATTGATTATCCTCAACTACTACCGCTGTTGGGAAGGATCCTACGCACTGAAACCAGTATAGTAGTACGTCGCGAAGTGGTCAAGGTTCTTGGGATTCTCGGTGCTTTAGATCCATATCGACGAAAGGTACGTTTTTCTCGTAGGAAAGAATGTCGGGTGCATTTGTCTTACTGTCCTTGGCGTACAGAGCAGGCCTGATGATGACGCTGCGAGCGAGACAGCTGTGGCGGCCGTAAATCAGGTCCCGGTGTCACAGCATATAACTACGTCTGCATCCGACGATTATTTCCAGACCGTCGTTATTACCTCTCTTCTGGCTATTCTAAAGGACCAATCATTGAATAGTCACCATCATACTGTCATTGAAGCCATTATGTCTATATTCAAGACACAGGGACTCAAATGCGTTACATTCTTGCCACAGGTACGATTCCACTAGTTACTGTCAGCCACTTAAAAACATCTGGCATTATGATAGATTATACCAGCGTTCGCCGCAGTTACCAGAGGTTCTGCAGCCAGACTCCAAGAATTCCATCTCCAACAACTTGCTATTCTCATCAGCATCATTAAGCAACATGTTCGTAACTACATGCCAGAAGTATTCAGTCTAATTGCCGAGCTTTGGGAGAATGCAACTCTCCAGCTTCCTATCGTTGCTTTGATCGAGGCATTAGGGAAGGCCTTAGAAGCGGAGTTCAAGCCATTCCTACCTTCCATCATTCCTCTTATTCTCAAGGTATTCGATGGAGAAATCACGGAGAAGCGCATAAACACGCAGATCAAAATATTCGATGCTTTTTTGACCTTTGGTGCAAACATCGAAGAATACCTACACCTTGTGATACCCATCATTGTCAAATCATACGAACGACAAGAACCATTTGAACGGCCTGAACTGATTACTGCTCTGCGCAAACGGGCTATCCAAACAGTCGATGGATTATCCAGAAGAGTTAACTTTTCTGATCATGCCTCACGTATTATCCATCCTCTGGCTCGGGTACTAGAAGGACCAAACAATGAGCTGCGCATGGCAGTCATGGATACACTCTGTTCACTTGTCATTCAATTGGGATCCGATTTCGCTATCTTTGTGCCAACCATAAACAAGGTAGGTTATTTCACACAATCGAAAACATGAATTTTAGTTGTTGACTTGATACGAACAGTGCCTACTTCGCAATCGCATCCCTCACCCCAAATACGAAAATCTCATCTCCAAACTCCTCAACGGAGAACGCCTGCCTCAAGAAGCAGGCGTCCTCGAATTGCTGTATGTTAATTTGTTCGCTAGAAGGACTCCGCTCACGCCCCATTAGGTTAAGCGAAAACTCCAAGGCTCCTGAGTTTTCTGTCCCGGCGGAAGCCACCAAGATGACTGTAAATCAACAGCATCTTAAACAGGCCTGGGACACGTCTCAAATCACCACAAGAGATGACTGGTCGGAGTGGATGCACAGGCTTGGGGTAGAATTTATGAAAGAATCGCCCTCGCATGCTCTTCGGGCCTGCATGAGCCTTGTCGATATCCATCCACCCCTAGCAAAAGAATTGTTTAATGCTGCATTTTTATCATGCTGGGGAGAACTTTACGATCAGTATCAGGTATGTCTTTTGTCCAGACCCAAAAGCTCACGTCGATAACACGAAGTAGGAGGACCTTGTGCGTGCGATCGAGTTCGCTATTACCTCGACTACGGCACCCTCCGATCTCATCCATCGTCTGTTGAACCTCGCCGAGTTTATGGAGCACGAAGAGAAACCTTTACCTATCGAACACCGTACGTTGGGAGAGTATGCCATGAAGTATATGGCGTACGCGAAAGCGCTCCATTACAAAGAATTAGAATTTTTTTCAGAGTCGTCTCCGGCGGTTATTGAAGCTCTAATCGCTATTAACACCCGACTTCAACAACATGACGCTGCATGGGGTACATTGCTTACCGCTCGTGAGCAGTACGATGTCACGAAGCATGAGGAGTGGTATGAGAGACTTGGACGATGGCAAGAGGCCCTTGTAGCATATGAAAGGAAAGCCGAACTCGATCCTACCGCTCCAGACGTTCAAA